ACTTTCGACTGTTCAGGGGAGGGGCAGTTGGTACCCTAACCCCCTGGTGTGCAACTGTACTTCCCTCAGATTTTGAAGGTCATCACTCCACTGTCTCCCATTTCCCAGTGTTGGCACTGGGCAATCCAAAGACTTCCATATTCCTCATCCCTGGTCTGGGTCCAGCTCCTCTCTGGAAACTTGTAAGATCTCTTTGTCCCCAGTGTTAGAGTAGAAATTTTGCAATAATGTGCTCAGGTGAATGTACTTTCATCCATTGTTCTAGGCACTCGGTGGGCCCTTAAATCTCAAAACTTGTGTCCTTCAATTCCGGGAGACATTCTTGACGTTTTCTTTTTTTTTTTAAGATTTTATTTATTTATTGGAGAGAGAGAGACAGAGATAGCGACAGAGATAGCAAGAGAGCACAAGCGGGGAGGAGAGGGAAAAGCAGGCTCCCCGCTGAGCAGGGAGCCCGATGCAGGACTCAATCCCAGGACCCTGGGATCACGACCTGAGCAGAAGGCAGACGCTAACCAATGGAGCCACCCAGGCGTCCCTTGAACTATTTAATTGATGACTTCTTTACTCATTTTTGTGTCTTCTCTTTCTGGAATTCCTATTAATTAGATATAGAATCTCCTGTCTGTCTTCCCATTGACTTACCTTTTCTCTCATACTTTCCATTTCCTTGGGGTTTTTCATTTTGTTTTTTTTTGTTTTTCTCTACTTCCCGGGGGAACTCCCCATTTTTATCTTCCAAACCTCGTAACGAGTGTAACTTTCCTGAAAGTTTTTCTTTGCATGTTTCTGCCGCCTACGTGGACTCCATCTCTTCCAAGTCCTTTTACTTGGTCCATTCTGTGTCCGCTTTTCACACTCGAGGCTCACTAGGTGTCAGCCAGTCTTTAAGAAGCAGAGATGAAAAGATGGGTGAGCATGCAGGCGGGGCTGGTCAACATGAGCATTACTGTGAGGAGAGTAGGCTGACCTCTGTGTTGGGAACCCCTGTCGTGGGTCCCTTTAGTTCTTTCTTCTTGGAACTAGTCAGATTCTCCAGAGAAGATCCTCCCAATGCCTTGAGTAGGAGGCACATTAATGGTCCCCCAAAGATGTCCTTGTGCTAATCCCTAGAACCTATGAATATGTGACCTTGCATGTCACAAAGGGCTTTGTAGATGTCATTAAGTTAAGGATCCTGGGATGGGGAAATGAAGCTGGGTTATCCAGGGGACCCACTATAATCATAATGGCCCTTGTTAGAAGGAGGCAAGAGACTCAGAGTGAAAAAATGGAGCTGTGACTCCAGAAGTAGAGGTCGAAGTGATGAGAGGCCACAGTCCAAGGAATCCAGGCAGCCTGTAGGACTGGAACAGCCAAGGCAAACAGAACCCTCCCAGGGTCTCCAGAAGGAACACAGCCCTTCCTACACCTTGATTTAGTTCAGTCCAGAACTGAAAGATCATAAATCTGTGTTGTTTAGTAATTAGAGCAACAATGGAAACCTAACACAGCCTGAGGCGGGGAGCTGGGCATGGGGATGGCCTTGGCTTTCAGTGGGCAGATATGTGCTCAGTGTCTTTGTGTTCAGAATGGTCCCTGCCTCAATTGTACCTGAGTCGTTCAGTCCAGAGAAGCTGTTGAACACTCATCCTCTAGAAGATAAATGTCTGGTTTCTGCTGGGATAGAGAGGAAGGGTAATCTCCCAGAAATGTGAAGCAAGGAAGAGAGTCTAGGGATCTACTTGCTCCCCTCCCCTGGGTTCCAGCTGTACCTGGAGCTGCCAATCCCTGACCACCTGTGGGTTGTCAGGCCGACGTAGAGCTTTTCCCACCACTGACTCCAAACCAGGCTTTCTCCAGTCTATTGTCATGTACTTGGCAGCCACTCAATCACTCTTCTCTCCTCTCCCATTCTCCCTGTCTTCACCCGATTGCATCCTTCAAGCAAAATCAAACAAATGGAAGAGTCCTCTGGTTTTAGTCGAGTGTCTGAGGGAATAAAGCTAGCCTCAGTGCTTGTCTGCCACCTTCGCTAGGGAGTCTTCCCCGCACACTTCCTCCAAGTTCAAAAAGCTGAGCCCCTCACACCCCCCTCTCCTTCAGAGTCCCCGTCTAAGGCCCTTCCTCCTGATTCCTGTCACACTGGCTCTGGGGGGTTCAAGGCTGTGCCCCAGAATGGCTGTGGTAGTGATGAATGTAGAACTTCCCTACGCCTTGTGAACAGCCACTGCTCCTGACCCCCCAAGTTCCCTTGCCCCCCAGCCACCCTGGCCACTGCAGATGCTCCCTGGCTGTCCTGGTCTGTGACCTGGGCGGCCATAACAGATACCACAGACCAGGTGGCCTGAACAACAACAGCTCTTCTCTCACGGTTCTGGGGGCTGCACGTCCAAGATCAAGGTGTAGACAGGATTGGATTTTTACGAGGCCTCCCTCCTTGGCTACCGGGTGCCCCCTCCACCCCCGCTGCCTCTTCAGAGGGTCGCCCATCTGAGCACACCCTGATGTCTCCCTGTGGGTCCTAATCGCCTCGTCTTGGTTACAAGAACACCAGTCAGATTGGATCAGGACCTGTTTTAGCTAAATCCCCTCTGTGAAGATCCTGTCTCCAAATACAGTCACATTCTAAGGTACTAGGACTTAGGACTCCAACATGAGTTTGGGGCGGACACCATGTAGTCCATATCACGGGCCCTCCCCTGATTCTGGCCCAGGTCTCTGACTGCTCTGTGTCCCTGCCATAACCGCGGTCACACATCTGGAATAGCAGCTCTGCACCTGCCACGTTATTCATTTCTCCTCACAAGCCTGAGCTATGGAACCAGTCCTGCCAAGACAGCCACAGACCCAGGCCCCCTACCTTGGAGCATAATGGGAAACTACGAAGCCCTTTGTGTTTGGTGTCATAGTTTTGTGTCCCTGCTGCTAAAAATATTTTTAAATAAAAATGAAAACAATATATACTGTATGCATGCATTGTATAGGACTCTAAAAGAAAAATTTTCATTTATTCCCTTGAAGGTTTGGCCTACTTCTGTTCACATTTCAAGTTTCCATTAGAAAAGAAAGTAAGAAATCCTCAGACAATGGCTGTTGAAACCCTAATTAGATGGGCCTTAAAAAACGTCCACAGAGGGTAGAAACCTTCACGGGAGAGCATGTTATGGCGGATAAAAGCAGAGGTTTTGGAATCAGATAGAACTGCATTTAAATTCTGCTTCTACCACTCACTCACTGTGACCTTGAGCAAAGCGCTAAACCTCTTCGTTTCCTCATTTGTAATCATACATGGCTCATGAGGCCTCCGAAAAGGTGCATGCAGCATCTACACAAGGTCTGGACAGGAGAGTGCGCTGCTCCATCCCCTCCCCCTTGGACCACTGACCTGCTGAGATCTACACAGCACCCCACCAGCCAGACCCCTCCCCACCTCTGTGCTTAATAAAATCCCCTTTCACTCAAGGAAGAGTGTTTGTGCAAATCCTATGTTAATAGATTCCTTTGGCCAATTCACCAGGTAGGTTTTACATTTGAAAGAATATTTGACAGTTTCTCTCAGCCTTTCTCAGCCTGCCCCCCAAGGTCTAGAAACCTCTCAGCATTAACTTCTGGCTCTTGACCCTCAGACCAGCTCTGAGGTTCACCAGCTTCTCCCTTCCTCCCTTCCTACCCCACCCCCCGAAGTAGGTAAAAGTAACCTTGCTGACAAAAGTTTGGGAAAGAAATTTAGAGGGGAAGGAGGAAGAAAATGAGTATTTACTGAGCACATTTTTTTTTTTCCTGTGAGGCACTTGACATCAATTACTTTATTTAGTCTTCCCAACCACTGATGAGGTAGACATTCCTTCTCCCCACTTTACAGGTAAGAAAACTGAGACGCAGAGAGGTGAATTAACTAGAGCAATTAACTAGAGCAAAGCCACACTAAGTGGCAGAGCGAGATGCAAGGTGTCAGTAAGACTGAATCTAAGTCCAGGGCTCTTTCCAGTGTTCGAGCTGCCCCCCACCCCCGGCTCCTCAGGTCTCTCTATGGTATCTCTCTCAGATGTTCCTCAGCTCCCCTCTTAGCATCCCAGCCTTTCTCTTTGTGTTATGGTTCCTTGCAACAATGTCTTCTCTCTTTGACTCTTTGAAGCCAAGAGGGGTGCCTGATTCTTTTTCCTGCACATCCTCCACAGTGCCAAGCACACAGTAGGCACTTAGGATGTGTGTTCAATGGATGAAGAGCTAACAAATGCACATATAGATCAATAGGCAACATATCTATGAATAAATGAATCTGGAAATGAATGAATGGATGGATGGAAGGATGGAAGACAAAGTGAATGCATGCACATTGATGGAGGGCATGGATGGCATGAATGAGTCATAGGTGAATGAATGAATATGTCAATGAGTGTGTGAATTAGTGATTCAATAAATATACAGATGAGTGAATGAATACTGAATAGACAAATGTATGAGTGTGAATGAATAAATTAATACATAAATGAAATAACATAAGGAGAAGTGAGTGGATGAATACATGAATGAACTGGTGAATGCAGACATGCGGGTATGATGAACGAATGAGTGAATGAGCCAACAAACGGGGCGAATGAACGCCTTCCTTATTTCCCGCAGGACTGCCCCGCCCCCTTGAGTGTGCCCCGTGATCAGAAAACCTAAGATTCAGAGCACCAGTTGAAATCCCAAGAGGCAGCATTCAGGTTGAGGCTAAAGGTCTGAGGGTAGGAATGGCAGTTAGTGCCCTTCTGTGCACGGAGAATACGTTTGCTGGGAGCCCCCTGTCACAGCTGCCACATCTCCTAAGAACTGGGCGCCAAGTTGGTCACTCAGCAAGTAGGAGCTGTGGTCAGTGCTCCAGGCGCTTCCTGGCTGGGCTGGGCTCATCCCCTTTGCCCTACTCCACACTCCCACCGAACACCGCACTCCACCCCCAGCCCAGAGCACAAGCAGGCAACCACAGGCAAGGAAGTTGATTCTTAGCATCCAAGAACAGCCTCCTTTAATGAAGAGTCTGCTGCAATATCTTCGCAACGGGCAGCAACTCACATGTTCGATTACAACAGGCTGAGCTGCTCCACACTCCCCAGTGCCAGGGCTCAGGGAATGAGGGAGGGGAAAAAACACCTAGACGCTGAGCAAGACCACACACTTCCTGACACAGGCAGCCCCGAGGTCCTGGCTCCGTCCAGGTTGAAAGAGCCGCAACACTTCTCGCCAAGGAGCCCAGCATCTTAACTAATGCCCCTGCCTGCCCATCGCTGACGGATGCTCTTCTTTGCTTCTTTTTTCTCCACTTCAGAATCCAAGGCAGGGTTTGAGTGACTGACACCTTCTCCCCTCTTGGCCCTGGGAGCCGATTAGTTCAGGACTGTGGCAAACCGGTATTTCAGGTCCCCTTGGCAACCCCAGTGCCCAGTCTCCCGAGGAGGATTGCGAGGATTGCGTTTCTAAAGGACCCTGAGGAGACCAGACTTCTGGGTGAGAATCAACACCTTCCTCTTTGTTTCTTTGCTGCCGCATTCAACATGGGTTGCTCTTTCAAAGATCAGAGGTTGATTGGGAGGAAAAGCTGTCCTGGAAGTTAGGAAGGGCACAGAAAGAGGAAGGCTATGTTCTGCAGCTGCGTGGGGGCGGGGGCGAGGGGAGGGCACACCACAAAGATCCCTAGGAACACTACTTCCCACTTTCAATGTTCCCTCTTGTCACTGCTTGTCTTATGATGCAACCTTAGAGTAACGCCGGCCACAGGAGGTCAGGGTGCCCAGTTGGCCTCAGACTTTTGTCAGTCATTGAATTACTCATCTTAGCTCTTCTCATGCACCCAGAGATATCCTTGCTCACAGCCACAGCTGGGAGGCTGGGGAGGGCTCCTGTGTAGTCCACACAGAGACTGAGGAGGGAGTGCAGTAGCGTTCAGTGTGACATCCTTCATCTCTGCTTCAAAACTCTGTGTTTTTCCAGAAAGGGCTTTGAACAGAGTCTCAGAGGTCTACATACCTATTTCCATACCCACCCCCACTCCCCCAGCTCAACTTTGTGGCTTGTTTAAGGAGGAGAGTGGAAGAGCGTGGAGGCAGGAGGGGAGAGAACTTGGCCTCGGTGACTAACTCCAAACAAACAGCCACCGACAAAGATAGTGATGTGCAAATTACTGGTTTTTATTGGACACTTTGGGGAATATAGTTGTTTGTCGGGAAATGAAAGAGAATGTTTGTGCTTATAAAATTATATGGAAAATCAATGTGGTGTTAAGTATATTTTTCAGTTATTTGAGTCAAGGACTGTTCTCCAGCCAATTCTAGCAGGCTCTAAGGGAGTCAGAGATGTCCCTAAGCACAGCCAAGGGGGCCGAGCAGAAAGGTCAAGCTGCCGTTTATTGCTACACTTTTTCCCTGGGGAAATGCCCAAGTGGGCATGAAGTGACATGGGCCATGCAGAGTTCCCAGTGCGATCGTTAGACTTCAGTTACCAACATCAGTGCTGAGGCCGTGCCAGACAGAGTGCTCTGAAGTCTAGACCTCACCTCTAGTTTTCTTGTGCTCCAACCCAGAGATTCTGAGCATTGACTCCCTGTCACGGGGGGGCGAGGAAAGGAGATACACGCTATCTGAAATGTGAGAGAGAGTGGGAGCTCCATCTTGTCTCAGTGGCTTCTGAGTTGTCAACTATCGGAAGTGGGGTGCTGGGTGCTTAGTCCTCCTAAGTGGCATCTGTGGGTCTGTCCAGCTCTGGACCTTGGACAAGGACAAGGCCCCATGAAGGAGGACATAGGAACAGCCAGCTGCTCCTTTGCAAAGCATTTGTCATTGCATTATCACTGAAGATCTTTGACAGGAAGGAATGAATAAGAGTAAGAAACCAAGGAAATTAGACAGAAATTTTAGAAGCTCAAAGATTGATAGGCAAGGAGTTACCAACAAAACGCCCACTTACTACTATAAATCCTTTACCAGACGCTATTACAATTATTTTGACACTGAATTGGGAACCAGACAGTCTGCTCTACCCTTCTCTGCTGTGTGGCTCAGGGCAAGTTACTGACCTCTCTGGGCTTCCCGGCCCTTTTATCTGTATACTTTATTATAAGAAGCTCCTTAAGATGTCTTCCTGCTCTAAATCCTGTGATGCTATGATAAGAAGTTCTTACTGATTACTAGAAATAATAGTTTAGGGAATGGAGAAGACTCCTGGGCTGATGGTGGTACAAATTTGGGTTATGTCACTTAGTAGCTATGTGTCTTAGTCACGTCACTGAACCTTCCTGGGCTCCGGTTCCCTCATTTGAAAAATGGTTTTGTTAGTTTGTTTTTCTCGTAACAGACTTGCAGTGAGAATTAAACGTCATAATGCATGCCAAATATTGAAGGCAGTGCCTGTCACATCAGAAACATGTTGGCTATTGACATTACAAAAGTAGATGAAGAAAACAACACATTTTAACAAAGTATCCTACTGCTCAAAACACAGGAATGGTTGTAAAAATAAATAAGAAATCTCAACTAATTATTATCAAAGACCAAAATGATCCCTTATATAACTTCATGCTAGATACAACTGAAGGACTGCATTAAGATATCCACTGCCCAAAAACAGTAAAACGAAAGATAACATATCCAAATTCCATTATTATTATTTTCTACTCTGGGTCAATTTCACCATCTATGAAATGGGAGCAACAACCAAGAGCTGTTGGAGAATTAACCATTATAATATCTACAGAGGAGCTTTCACACCGTGCTTGAGGCACTTGATAAATGGCACCAGCTATTATGTTGGATTTCTTATTCAGAATCCATAATTAAAAAACAAAGACCTCAAAGAACAAACAAAATCGAATCTGTTTCTTAACAGTTTCCCTGATACTTGGGCCTGTTTTCTCTGCAAGAAACTTCTCATTGCTCATCTTCTTTTTTTTTTTATAGATTTTATTTATTTATTTGAGAGAGAGAGTGAGAGAGAGAGCACAAGAGGGGGGGAGCGGGAGAGGGAGAAGCAGGTCCCCCGCAGAGCAGGGAGCCCGATGCGGGACTCGATCCCAGGACCCCAGGATCATGACCTGAGCCGAAGGCAGTCGCTTAACCAACTGAGCCACCCAGGCGCCCTCATTGCTCATCTTCTTTCCGGGTCGTTGTTCACTCTTTGTTTTTCAAGTGATGGTTGGAGATAAATGAGTACATTCCCTGGATTCTACTCAAATATTAGAAATCTCTCAAGGCTCCGGCTATGTTGCAAACACCATACTCAAAGATTTATCTCAGGACCAGAATCTCCTTGCAAGAGGGCAGTGAAATTTGGGGATAAAATGTCCTTGGCGGACAAGACACTGCCAGCTATGATGACCACGTATGGCAATCACAGTCCCAAACACGTAATACTGAATATTGGTGGTTAGGATACGAACCACCCACCCCTTAAAAATAAAGACGATGATGGACCCTATTCTGCTTTTTCTGTTGTTGAAGTATCATTAACATACAATGGCATATTAGTTTCAAGTTTGCAATGTAGTGATTTGTTAATTCTATACATTACCCAGTTCTCCCCATGATAAGTGTAGTCACCATCTGTCACCAGTGTTATTGCAATATTATTGACTATATTTCCTTCCTATGCTATATTTCTCTATGACTCATTTATTTTATAATTGGAAGCCTGTACCTCTTAATTCCCTTTACCTATTTCACCCATCCTCCCACCCACATCCCGTCTGGCAACCACCAGTTTGTTCTCTGTATTTAAGAGTCTGTTTGGTTTTTGATTTTTTGTCTGTTTTGTTTTTTACATTCCACAAATAAGTGAAATCATATGGTATTTGTCTTTTTCTGTCCTTTTGGTGTAGAAATGGATACAGTATCCATTTTGATGGTTTGAAGTTTCTGCCCTTCAGAACCGCAAACTGTGAGTTAGATTCCCTGCCTCACGTTGGGCCTGAGGATAGGGAGTTAATGAATGTATTGAAATTGAAGCCTTGGTTTCCAAAAGAGGAGTAAAAAAAAGTTCCAAAGTCTTTTAAAATATACCGATCAAAGTTGGGTAACAAAAATATCTCTACTGTGTATTTTCAAATTTACTTGCAATAGCGTTTGCTAGTCAGTGTTGTCCTGTGGATTTCTCTATGAACCTGTAGGATGGGCTTCTTCCTTTCCTGCCTATATATTTTCTTTTCTGATCTGTTAATAAAAATGTGGGGAGTTTTTTCTTGATGATCAGGCAGTACATGTTTCTTATAGAAAATGTTAAATGTAAAGAAGAAAATAAGACACCCACAATATCATATTTCCTCCACCCAGAAATAATCACTGTAGCACCCTTGTGAATTTCCTTCATCTTTGTGTGTGTTCTATGCAAAGGAAACATTTTAAGCAGTTGAGATTATGGTGTGTATATGTGCATATGTATGTATGTATATGTCACCAGCATAAGCATTCCTCTTTCTCTCTCCCACCCACCTTCACCCACACACTTAATGAATTACAGTTCTCTTAACTTTATGATGATCTTTCCTCCCATGCAAAAGACAAAGGAGCAACGGGTTAATTTAAAAATTCTTTCTCGAGGAAACAAGATATATTATGATCTCAATTACAAGGAGAGAAAAAAAGAGTAAAACCAAATCAATAAAAATAAAAATACCATTTTTAAGGGTAGAAATGCAACAAAATTTGGATTGTGGTTATCTTCACATGGTGGCTATAATTTTTTTCTTCTCTGTGTTTTTTGTATTTTCTAAATTTCCAATGATGTATGTATATGACATTAAGTAAAACATTTTTATAGTTCTAAAAATAATTTTTATATTAAGTAATAGTGCTTTTTCAGCACAGCATGTTTCTACTCATCAAGTCAAATTGTAACTAACAACATTTCACCTTTGTGGTAGCAAATGTCTCCCTGGCATTGTACCCCACTTTTTTTTTAAAGATATTTTTTATTTATTTATTTGACAGAGAGATAGAGAGCACAAGTAGGCAGAGTGGCAGGCAGAGGGAAAGGGAGAAGCAGGCTCTCTGCTGAGCAGGGAGCCCGATGCGGGGCTCTATCCCAGGACCCTGGGATCATAACCTGAGCCAAAGGCAGCTGCTTAACCAACTGAGCCACCCAGGCGCCCCTGTACCCCACTTTTAAGTAAATACCAAAATGCATTTTGCATGTTACTATGTCCATGGTGTGATGGCAGTAAACAGGCACCCTCTGACTTGTCTTGTCTTGACTTCAGCTCTAGGTTAAGGCTTAACCTTAGCCTTACCCTTAACGATCCCCTGTCTGACTCAGCAACGACTTTGTGTTTTGGGCTCTGTGTGGAGCTCTTGGGGGCTGAGGTCTGTGTTGTGACTTTGTTGGTGGGCCTCCAACACAGGTTGCCTACATATTTTCTTTTCTGATCTGTTAATAAAAATGTGGGGAGTTTTTCTTGATGATCAGGCAGTACATGTTTCTTATAGAAAATGTTAAATGTAAAGAAGAAAATAAGACACCCA